GTTATCAAATTCTCAGTGTCCAAATGACTCATAAACACTTTATTTATTTTAATTAGTATATATCAAGATTTTATTCATTGCAGTTTCTGGTCACTAAGTGTCCTTTAATCTACCTGTGAATTTTCCCACTTTTTAAAATATTAATGTACTTGTTAATAAAATTTTGCTATTTGTCCTGTTATTCCCCTGCAGTCTATATTTTGATCATTTGATTCCCATACTGCTTACCATGTTATACCTTGTTTTTTTTTGTTTTAATTGGTTAAACATCACAGTAGAACACATTCTGACAAATCATATACAAATGCAGCATAACTTCTCATATTTCTGGTTGTACCAGATGTAGGATTGCACTGGTTGCATCGTCTATATGCACATACGGTATTGATATCTGATTCATTCTACTATTCTTCCTACCACCATCCCCTCTCCCCTCCATTCAGGCCTCTCTGCCTAACGCAAAGTACTTCTATTCTTTCCTAGTTCTCTTGCCATTGTGAATTAGCAAACTCATATTAGAGAAAACATTTGGCCATTTTTTTTTTGGCTATTGACTTATAAGTTTTAGCATGATATTTTCCAGTTTTATCCATTTACTGGCAAATGCCATAATTTCATTCTTCTTTAAGGCTGAGTAATGTCCCATTATGTACCTATACTACATTTTCTTTACCCATTCATTGGTTGGAGAGCATCTAGGTTGGTTCCATAGTTTAGCTATTGTGAGTTGAGCTGCTACAAATATTGATATGGCTGTGTCACTGTAGAATGCTGATTTTAAATCCCACAGTACTTAACCTGTTATTCTGTTTCCTGCATTTTGTAGAACTGAGAGTTACTTCAGGAGTTTCAAAAGTTTTAGATCAGTATGTTCTTCTGTTTTAGTGGCATTCATTCATGGTTAAGTCTCTCCCCACAGCTCATTTTATGCTCTCCTGAACTTTTTCCTGCTTCCCCTACCTTAAGAATTGCACAGGACACAGTGCCAAGCCCAAGAATAAACTGGTGAAATTCACAGATTAGCTGAGATTTGTTCCTTATTCAGCTGGGTCAGGAGAAAATCCAGTAACTAGTTCATTCCTACATCAAGATATTCTTCATTGTGACAAACACTATTTGTTTGGAAATATTAATAAAAGTGGGTGGAATGAAGACATAGC